GCTGAACAGTCTAGAAAGAAGTAAGAAGAGCTATATTATTTATATTAACAACTTTTTCTTACTCAACACTGTCGAACAGTTCTGTTTTTCTGTTCACCTCTGGAGTATGAAAGTTTATGGAGCCAGAAGAACTGGATACAAGATAATAAATTGTTTTAAAAAGAGGCTTCTGCCCTGGATTAAATAGTCATGGTTTGTTAGACAAACTCTCTCTCTCCATCTGTCTATGTGCACAAACACATATATATGAGTTTGTTTGCCTGCATTTACTAGTTATCAAAGATATTTTAGTACAGTGTATAAAACAGAACTAACACCTCTCCATGATCTATACTGCATCAAAGAATAAACTCCTTTCACTGAATTTGCAGCAGCACATGGTTTTCCATACCAACAGACTGACACCATAACGGTGCAAAAAGGAAATTACTTCCAAGTAACTGGAGTTAGAAATATATTGTCCACATACTTGATCTCTCATGTGGGTATTTCTCATATTCTGAATTTGCAATCAGAGATATTTCATCTTAATTTACCCTGTGAGTGTGCTTTAGCCCCACCTCCCTTGGTGCTCCCACACTGAAGGAATACATGGCAGCACATATTACCTACTCCTCTGTTCCCTTTCATTGGTAGATTCCTAGGTCACCTCGATTCATTTTATCCTTCTGATACAGTGGCACAATGGGAGGTGGGACTACATTGCAAAAAGGCTGCTATTGAAGGCTCAGGGCATCAGACATACACACAAATGAGACTGCGCAGGTAGACAACAGCTTGAAGGAGAATCATCTCTTTCATGAGTGGTCAAAGAGGATATTTAATGGAGGAAAAACCCAAGGGCATTCTTTAGATAAAAACTTGTAAGTAGATAAAAATCACTAAGTAAACTGCTGCTTATATAAATTTATATTCAAAAATATTTTTGTTATAAAAATCTGTTAAAAGAAATTCTCAAATAAAAGTGCTGTAAAAAGTGTAAAAATATTAAACCATTTTATGCCCTAACCCCAAATGAGGAAGGAGAAATGAATATTAAAAGACTTCAGACTCTTAATACTACTGGATCAGATCATCAGCTGGAATAATATTATAATATTCTATTGACTGCTATGGCACTATTTTAATTTACAGCATCTGTGGACAGCAGCTCCCTTGTGCTATTCAAAAGCATGGAGGAAAAGAAAAAAACCCCAACATTTCTGATGTTCAAGTAGATGGAAAAAAAAGGCAATTTTAAGATTACCAATCTTGAAATCAAATGGTATCTTACAAACATGATTCAGATAAAACACGTATAAAACCAATAATTGTGTATAACAAGCAGAAAGAGATAACGACACTTTATATTATCAGAGGCCATAATGATAATCTGGTAGGAGTTGTACTAGATTTTAATACAAAATGTCTACAACAATGTGTTTATTCTTTTATGTACCTTGACAAACTATGAGAATCACCTGAATTCTCCAGTATGAAAAGTATTACATAGGTTTTAATTTTTCAAACTACTTAAGTAGGTCTTTAACTTAAGCATGTGAGTAGTTCCATTGAGGTCAAGGCTTAAAATTAAGCATCTATTTGGTTTGCTGAACTGAGACTATACTTAACATATACCATCTTGCCACTTCTTCATATCAGGGTCTCATTAATTTGTTTTTCATACCAGGGCAAGGGATAACTTACTTTTTGTGAAGGAACTCTCCAGCTGCTACTGCAACAGGCCGGTGTGCTGAATACACCAAGTGATAAACATTCTCACAGTCTTCGTTGGATAGAGCTTCTTCACTTCCACTGAAAAAGTCAGAAAGTAATACCTGATTCAAAATAGATGTTCGACTTCAGTTCCACCCTCCCATAAGTTAGACTGTCATAAAAGCACCCACATTTATGGCTACCCAAGCTTCATAAAAGCCAGTAGATATCAACAGGATTTGAACCAGGCTCCAAATGAAAAGATATTTAATTCTTCACTGGGCTCGTCTACACTTGCAAATAATACAAAGCAATACACTCCGGAATTTATAGCTCGACACTTTATTGCTCCCAGGTGCGCCGTTCGAATGTATGCCCAGAACTGGAGCACGCTGAGCCAGGTCAGAGCTGCCTTGTCTGGCAGGGGTTCCCAAGAGTCAGCTTGCCGGCCCAAGGCTGCTCCTGCCCAGCTCAACATGCTGTGGAGAGGCTGGCTGGGGGATGAGGGTGTTTCAGTATGGGGCTAGCCATCAGGCAGCCCCCACACTAAAGCACCCTCGTGCTCCAGCCAGCTGCATCAGCATCTACACATGTGGTGCTGTGGAGTAAAAAACTCTGTATCATGACAGTACTTATATTTACAAGTATTACTGGGCTGCAGCGTTTATTAGTTTAATCCGGCCTCTAATAGTCTTGCACGTGTAGATGATGAGATGTTTACTGTGGAGCTAATTAGACTAGACAAGGCACAGTAAATGCCTTGTGTACATGCACCCACTGTAAAAATAAAACACCATTGAGTTAAAATTAACTGAAATGTTTTGCTAGGAAATTACCAATGCCTTCTAAAATTTGAATTAAATTTATATTAGTGCTTACTTAATTTTCTTACATTTTGAAATATGTCCAAATATCTCGCTTCTTTATTAAAATGTACTCATTTCAAATGCGACAAAAATAATTACAGCTCATGGTCAAGTACTGGCCTTTAAACAGTAAATTCTTCACAATAATTCTTTTAGCCTCAGATGACACATACTTGGACTGTGACTCAAAGGAAAATCATTATTAAAAAGTAGGATCAAAATCCATTCTACCATTTTTTTTTCTCCCAACAAAGAAGTAATTTGAACTTAAAAGCCAAGCAAAAGCATTGTGAGCTTTGTGCTTTGGCTGTGCCCCTACAATTTTTAGAGCTCCTAGAGCTAGACCGTCACCAGATTATCGTGCTGAGGTCTCACACACAGAGCCCATGTGTTAAGGGTGTGGTGGAGTTCTATCTACTCCATCAATCCTCAGGCCCTTAGAGCATGCACATAATCTGAGCAACCCCCATGTTGCTTTAAGTGAGTGGAGGCCAACCTTTTTGACAGCTGTGCCACAAATTAGCTCTTTACCCTGCCTGAGTGGGTGCTACAGCTAGGAATGGTATAGGGCAGCTTGGTGTCAGGAAACCAAAGCCACCTCTTTGAACCACCTTTCCTTCAATAATTTGTTAATTAAACAAGGATAGCATTAGTCTTTTTGACCATACCACTGCACTGCAACTCAGGTTTGACAGGTTATCCACCATGACCCCTAAATCCTCTGTGAAGTCCTGCATCCTCTAATCACATTTTTGATCCTAGATGCCTGACCCTGTATTTTTACCACAATTCCATCAAAGGGGTGATATTATGGGAAGGAAGCAGGCTTTTTGATACTTTTTTTTGCCTTAGATTGCTACGTCTCCAATAGCGTAATAATGTAGGAAGCAAGTATCTTCTCTACATTTTTTCTGTAATCAATTTTAAGAACTACTATTTTGGCAGAGCAAAAAATGTGACTCAACTCTTGGCTACTGTATTTACCTGAATCCAAGATGACTCTGAATTTAAGTTACCCCTTGGTACCTGTCCCTCCCATCAAGTCCCTGCTGCTGCCTGAACCCCCACTACCTCTGCCCTGCTATTGCTGTTACCAGGTTAGGCTGGGCCTGGACCAATCACATGCTCCACATTCTGGGTTGGAGCTAGAGGCTAAGCAGTAAGGCTGTGCAAAGCTTCGGTCCCTGATTCGATTCGGCAGAGATTCGGCTTGATTCAGTGGCCAAATCTCTGAATCTGAATTGAATCAGAGAACCCTTTAATCTCTCCAAATCGAATCAGAACCCTCTGAATCGATTCAGAAAGATTCCGAGATAGAGACAGCTGTAAATGTTTTTCCTACATGCCTCTAGGTAGCATATAGAAAAATGGCTTACCAGTGCGCTTGGCTGCATTTCCAGAAGTGGACCAGAAGCACTGCTGGTCTACTTTTGGGTCTGCTGTGGAGCACACAGGGGGGTCCCCCTGCACCCTCTCCCAGCTCGGTGATTGGTGCCTCTTGGGTTGGGTGGGGGGCACCCAGGGTCCCCCTTCGGCCAATCGCCGAGTCAGGGGGGCACAGGGGGGCCCCCTGCGTGCTTCCCAGCAGACCTGGAAGAAGACCGGAAGTACTTCCAGTCCACTTCTGGGCTTGCCAACAAGCATGTGGAGGGCCACCCAGCACTCCTGTGGGATGCTCCATCCACCCCTGCACCATAGCAATCACGAGCTGCACCTGCTACCTCAAGGTATGTAGAAAAAACATTTAAAGTTGTGCCTGTGTCCGAATCACTGATTCTCTGAATCAGCATTGAATCTTCAGATTTGGATTCGACTGAATCCAATTGGGGACAGTGATATGAATCAACAAATCGAATCACTGTCCCTGAATCGGGCTGAATCCAAATAGGGCCCGCTTTGCACACCCCTACCAAGCAGCACTGGGGGGTGGGAGGGAGGAGAGATGGCAGGTGAAAGCAGCAGGAGGGCAGGCAGCAGTTGTGGCTCCCACACCAGGGTCAGGGCCCAAGCCACAGAAGTTGCCTGCCCCCTGCCACCTTGTACTCAAATATAAGATGAGGGCCCCGCCCCCCCATATTAAATGTGTAAAAACCTTGTTTTGGATTGGAGTAAATGCAGCATGTTCCTATTCTAAAGTGTGTGAGGCAAATACATTAGCAAATAAAATCTGACCCCAAAATTGAGAGCTTAGGAGAACAAGAAAATATCATAGAAAATGAGGGTTGGAAGGGACCTCAGGAGGTCACATCTAGTCCAACCCCCTGCTCAAAGCAGGACCAGCCCCAACTAGATCCTCCCAGCCAAAGCTTTGTCTAGCCGGGTCTTGAAACCCTCCAATGATAGAGATTCCACCACCTCTCTGGGTAACCTGTTCCAGTATTTTATTACCCTCCTCCTGAGAAAATTATTCCTACTATCTAACCTCATTTTCCCTTGCTCCAGCTTGAGACTGTTGCTCCTTGTAATGCCATCTGCCACCACTGAGAACAGTACAGCTTCATCCTCTCACCCTCTTTGGAACCACCCTTCAGCTAGTTGAAGGCTGCTATAAAATCCCCTCAGTCTTTTCTTCCCTAAACTAAACAAGGCCAGTACCCTCAGTCTCTCCTCAGAAGTCATGTCCCCCAGTCCTCTCACCACTTCTGTTGCCCTCTGCTGGACTCTCTCCAATTAGTCCATATCCTTTCTGTAGTGGGGGCCCCAAAACTGGACATAGTACTCCAGATGTGGCCTCACCAGTGCCAAATAGAGGGAAATGATTGCTTCCCTTGACCTACTGGCAACACACCTACCAATGCAGCCCAGTATGCCACTGGCCTTCTTGGCAACAAGGGCGCACTGCTAGCTCATATTCAGTTTATGGTCCACTGTAACTCCCAGGTCCTTTTCTGCAAAGCCAGTCAGCCCCCAGTCTGTACTGGTGCATGGGATTGTTCCATCCTAAGTCCTTGTTGAACCTCATGAGATTCTTTTTGGCCCAGTCCTCCAATTTGCCTAGGTCCCTCTGAATCCTAGCCCTAGCCTCCAGTGTATCTACTACTCCCCACAGCTCAGTGTCATCTGCAGACTTGCTGAGGGAGCACTCTATGTCATTTTCCAGGTCACTGATGAAGACATTGAACAAACCCAGCACCAGGACAACAAAGCTGGGCCCAGGACCGACCCCTGGGGAACTCCACTTGATATAAGCTGTCAACTAGACATTGAGCCATTAATTATTACCTTCTAAGCCTGATGCTCCAGCCAGTTTTCTATCCACCTTACAATCTGTTCATCCAGCCCATACCTTTCTTAGCTTGCCTGCGAGACTGTATCAAAAGCCTTGCTGAAATCAAGGTACACCACATCCATTGGTCTCCCCACATCCACAGAGCCAGTCATCTCATCATGGAAGGCATTCAGGTTGGTCAGACATGACTTGCCCTTGGTGAATTCATGCTGAATATTCCTAATCATTTTTTTCTCCTCCAAGTGCTTCAAGATCGATTTCTTGAGGACCTGCTCCATGATTTTTCCAGGGACTGAGGTGAAGCTGACTGGTCTGTAGTTCCCTGGATCCTCCCTTTTCCCTTTCTTAAATATGGGCACTATGTTTCCCCTTTTCCAATCATCCAGGACCTCTCCTGATCATCATGAGTTTTCAAAGATGATGGCCAGTGACTCTGCAATCACATCAGCCAACTCCCTCAGCATCCTCGGGCCATCTGGTCCCATGGACTCGTATACGTCCAGCTTTTCTAAATAGTTCCTAACCTGTTGATTCACCACTGCTGGCTCCTTGCCTCCTCCCCAAACTGTGCTGCCCACTGCAGCAGCCTGGGAGCTGACCTTGTCTGTGAAGACTGAGGTGAAAAAGGCTTTGAGTGCTTCAGCTTTTCTACATCATCTCTCACTAGGCTGCCTTCCCCATTCAGTAAGAGACCCACACTTTTCCTGATCCTCCTCTTGCTACTGACATACTTGTAGAAACACTTCTTGTTACTCCCGGCCCGCACATGGCGACGAGGATGGGATCAGGAGAGGGCTCGCTAGAACTGGAATTAGTTACGAGTTGTCCTTGGAGAAGTGGGAAGCGCGGCGTGGCAAGCGTTGCTGAATTAGAGATGCATATTGTTTACCACCAGGCGGGCGGAGCGGGCGAAAGGTATGTCAGCGGACGCTTTTTGCTGAGGAAAGAAGAGGGAGCTTCCGAGGACAAAGCCCTTGGAGGGGGAGAGGTGTATCTTCACCCTG